TAGTGGGTTTTATAGGCTTTACTGGATCAGAGGTTTTGCCTGAACAAAGAAATGACATGCAATATCCTGCAAACTGGATAAAAACACAAGGTGAAACCTGCTGGTGAGTTTTTGCATTAACTTTCTTTCCTTCAAAAAAAAAAAATCTCAAGAAAATAAGGGATGCTAGGTGTGGAGTTTAGGAGGGCAAGTAAAGTCTCTCAGACAATATCTCATCTGATTCCTCTCCTGCTGTAGGACTGAAAAGCAAGGACTAGTTTGTACTGTGACATTCACCCACCCCTCAAGAGGTTTACCATATACTTGGTCTTTCTTCCCCCAGTCACAGAATTATAAAATGGTTTGGTTTGGAAGGTCCCTTAAGATCATCTAGTTCCAACCCACCCTGCATGGGCAGGGAACCTTCCACTAGACCAGGCTACTCAGAGCCCCATCCAGTCTGGCCTGAAACAACTCCAGGGATGGGGAATCCCCAACCTCCCTGGGCAACCTGTGCCGGTGCCTCACCACCCTTACACTAAAGAATTTCTTCCTTATATCTAATCTAAACTTACTCTCTTTCAGCTTAAGGCCATTCCTCATTCCAGTAGCCAAAGCTACATTCTGACACATCTTTCCAGAGCCCAAGGTGAACACTTTAAAATTAGACAAATTCGATAATACCTTTTTTCCTCCTTTTTTTTTTCTCCCTAATAACTTGGACTAAAACAAAGCGGGATAAGCATTAGGGAAAAGACAAGCAAAAGCTGGTAACCTGTTCTCCCTTTCCTGCCCCCACTGGAGACTTGATATCCTCATTTAATTTTAACTTTGCCTTTATTTCAATAACATGGAAACTGATTTAGCCTTTAATTAAGCACTCTTTTAACCACTGTGACTCTTAATCTGCTCTTTGGAAAACAGACGGTAAATGTAGTGTCACCTCTATCCCTGTATTAAACTGATTGATCTTTTCTGTATTTCATACACAGTCCTTCTGAATTTCTGAAGGTGAGGCCATGGTCAGACGTCAGAATAGTAGCCCCCTCCTGTGCTCCTGGACTCTCAGCCTTCCAGCCAAAAAGTAGAAGCAGATAAAGGAAGTGATTCATGGCATAAGGGCTAGATTTGATACTGTGGTTTCTCAGACGTGTTCAAACAAGCAGAGGTCCCTGCTTTCTTTTAAAATTGATTCTAATTTAAAACAAATCAACTAAATAAACACCGTTTGAAGTCATCAAAGTACATGGCATGAAAACTCTTCTGCCCTCTAGTGCTGTGAAGCGGTGGGATGCACTGATTGATTTTTGGGAGGGGAAAATATATAGCCTTGCGACCCAAAATTTCAGGAGTTTTTATCACTGTCAAAGGGAAGGGAGTGAGATATAAAAGATACTTAATTTTTGTGTATGAACTTGAGAGAAATATGATCTTAATATCTGAAACAACCAACAAAAGCTACTAAAAAGATCATGAAACAGATAAATTATGCAGCAGCTTGTTAAAGGCACTTGGGGATAAAGTGTAAATGCTACTACTGAGTCAAATAAAGAAAAATCTAAAGCAACATCACTGATAGAGAATGTCATCATAAAGTGTAAATGCTACTACTCAGTCAAATAAAGAAAAATCTGAAGCAACATCACTGATAGAGAATGTCATGTCATAAGCAAGATGTGTTGTTTAAGTTGTGGTTCCAGTTGTGTGGTGACTGCCAGTGAGGCATTGCTGCTCGCTTAGCTCCTGCCTTTGAGGGTCTGAGATTCGGTGGAGAGGTGAAGAACAGTCTCACAGTCTCAGGGGCACCAGAGTATGCTGGCAGGAAGGGAAAGGATCATATTAAATGGCATCATTAAAGCTTGCAACTCGATCTTTACTAGTTTAATCTCATAAATTAATCCACATCCTCCTAGAATAAGTCTTCAAAGAGAAAGAGGTAATTGGATATAAATATTCTTCTTCCCAAACCCTGAATTACAGTGATGCGGCAGCAGGCAGCTTTTGGCACTTTGATCTCTTTGCATGAATTTCATTCCACTTTTAAGCCTAGTCTTGGGCCTCATTGTTTCATTACTTTTCTGCAGCCAACTGTGCTCTCTCTGCTTCCTGGCTTGTACTCTAGCCACCCCCTGTGGCCCTTCCTTAAGAGGCTCAGCCTTCACCCCTCATTATTCTTTGTTAGCTGCTCTTTTCCTTGTGCTTTCGCCATGATGAATTCAGATGAAATATTCGTGCCCATGCGTGCATATAAAACCCTGCCAAGAGAGATGTGAGTATACCCTGATACATGGGACCAACTGCTGCTTAGTGCATTTCTAGTAAACCTGCACTCCTGTGGCTCAGCTTCTGCTGAATAGGAGCTGTGTAAACTCCTACCCACACAATACACCATGTAGATAAAACCCTTTGTCTTCTCCAAGTAGAAGTGACATGTTTTCATCACTCTTTTGATCACCTCAAGTCTCTTAATACACTCTGAACCCTGTCTTGCTTCTTTGCTGTCAGATTAGATTGATAGCTCCTTGAGACAGCAACTGCATTTTGAATTAAGTCTAGCAAAACAGGACCCTTGTCCTGATTCAGTGAGTCTCACCTTAGGCATGACAGCAAGATGAATATGCCCAAGAAATTCCTAGTGCCTGAAAACAAAAGGCTGACAAGGAAACTGAGGCTCAGGCTGAGAGTAAGTCACCTGGGTCCATCACGAACAGTATGACTTTGCATACTCCTTGGACAACTTTTGGGCAGACTGCTTAAATCCACAGGGTGCTTGGTGACCTCAAGGTATGGGGTGGGACTGCCAGCATCAGTGCTCTTCCCAGTCGACAGTGATCTTCTGCATGGAACATTTTGATTCAAGGAAGTGTTTTGATTTGAAATGCATGAGATTTGAGGTCAGCAAACTAGAGTGAGACTTGAATAAAAACAGTGAAGGTTATGCTTAAAGTTTCTGAAAATATTACCCTTGGTATTTGCTGCCAACTCCAAATATAGCAAATATTTCTAGAGTATTTGCCAAATATTCCTGAAGACCTGAATCAGAATAAATACTGGTTTTTATATGAAGTTATTTGCTACAACAGCAGAAAACTGACTTTGCTGATGAAGGAACTCCCTTCTAGTCCTGGTTTTCTGTAAACAGGAGAAATAAGAGTGTTTTCTTTTATTTTAGTGTCGGGCCGTACATCCTCGTAACTCCAAATGAAACCAGAAGAAAACAGTTGCAGCAAGGTAAGCTGAGTTGTCTAATATGATAATAAATTATTTCTTCTTGACTAAGTTTGGGGGTTTGTGCACTTTATTGCTCTTGCAACTTTTATCCTCATTTTACTAACGGTTTTATATGTGCACCTGTGACAGTGAAGCCAGTGCTATGAGCATTCTCCATCATCATGTAGGCTTTTCTCAAGATTGACTCCTCATCTGGCTACAGTTCACACAAAGTAAATCTTGTTCAGGAGAAGGGTTTTGGTAATTTCAGTGCTGAAGCTGTTCAAACTGGCTTCTACAGGACTCAGCTGGAATAGCTCTATCCCACTGTTACAGGATTGAATTCAGATTGGAGAACCTGCCTTTGAACAGTCTCTGTGTTAGGAGGCAGAAGAAGAAAAATATAAATAAGAAATATTTTTTAAAGTACTCCCATGTGGAGACAAAAGCACCTACAGCCACTGTTGGTTCTTGAATCTGCATTTAAGGATTGTGGGTGACTCTTTTAATAAAGCTTGTAAAGGTAATTTTAGATGGAAAGTATCTGTGAATATGCATTCACTTTTGCTTGTCTTTGAGTCTTGCTGGTGAAAGTAGCTAAGCAGGAGCACCATGAACCTCTATCAGAAAGAAGAGGCATATGTTGGAACCTTTCATTGACAAAGTTACAGCAAGACTCAGTTGTGAAATAAATTCTGTATGCAGAGGTGGCCGAGCACTGCAGCCCTGCAGTCCTGGCCATTGATTTATGCAAGATGAAAGCTGAAGGAGTCAGTCAGCGCTTCTCATGTTTTGAGTCCTCAAGGAAACTCTGCAATTAAATTCTTTCTTCTCAAACATTGTGAGTTTGGCTGAAATGCTTCACTATCAGGCTGGTATGTCTTGGGTTTCCTTTGGTTACAAGAAAGAAAATAGACTTATCCTGAACCAAACCATAATCTTCTAGGAGTATGAAGAGCAGCAGATCATCTCAGACCTGAGTGTGATGTTAACAGTAAAGGTGCTGCTGCTCTAATAAATATCTGTTTTCACGTTGTGTCACCAGTGTGCAAGGTGTGAAGCATGCCAAGTATTTATGTCTTGAATACTGGCATAAATAGGACCTAACTGAGTCCAGTCTCTACCTAAATACTTGTTTTAAAGGTGAAATAAGAAGCTGGTGTCTCTTTTGGGTCTCTTTAGAAACTTGCCTGGGTCCTGGCTTTATCCTGTTAGAGGAGAGCTGGTGGTGGTGCCTGATAGCCATAGCTAGCCATTAGGAATATGGTTAATAAGAGTGAAATGAGCTGCCACAGCAACTGCAGTGCAAAAATAAAACACAGTGCCTCTTTCCATAAGCTTGGTTGGCCTTGCTATTGAAAGGAATTGTTGGGGTTTTTTCCCTTGTCAGTCAATAAAGAGAGAAATTTAATCAACCAGCCGTCCTGGAGCATATGGCTGGCACCCTGGTTGTATTGACTTCCTCTGACTACACTGGAACTTGCTGCCCATCTCACATGTGGATGCCTATGTTAAAGTGTCTTAATTTGAAGAGGATTCATGCATTCCTCCTGTTTTTATTTAGGGAGCATGTGGTTGGAAGGGAAAATTACTTACTCTTCATTTCCCTGCTGGGGAATGTTAACCACAAGCATTTCCCTCTATGCAACAATAACATCTTAATCGTATCAACTTCTGTTTTACCTGCAGGACTAAATACTATGGCATTTACCTACAGGTTCCCAGGAGTTAAAAGCAGTCTATTAGCAGTCTCTTAGCTGGTTTTTTGTTTCGCTTTTTGGATTGGATCCTAGGGTTTGCTCACCATTATAGTCTCCTGTTAGGCAAAATGTTTGCCTTGTTAGTTATCATTGCAGTGACCTAGTAACCTCTTGGAGTGTGTCTGCACCCCTTGAGAAGAGGTTTTTCTGTTCCTGGATGGTCTTCAGGATTACATGCAATTAGCAATACTGCCTGCTTTTTAGTATTCTCTCTAACCTCCATATATTTCTTTCTTTTTATACCTGTTCAGTTGCTAAGAAAGAGCTAGATGACCTGGAGCAGTGGAAGGAAGAGCACAGACTAGGGCGAATTCAATTGATTCCACAGAAACTTGGTAAGACATGCAAATCAGCAATTGCAAATTACAAAATTTAATTTTCCCAGATATTATATCTTTTTCATTTTTTTTGTCACATGCTGCTTATGAAAGGGTTTGAGTGTCAATAAGGCCTAACATGAACCTAGTGGATGTGCTCTGTGCTTCTGGATGGTCATGGCAATGAAGTTGTTTCTGAAAACAAACAGCATAGATTGTCAATCAAGAAATGTGTCAAAATCAGACTAAAAAGTCTGTATTAACATTTGGGAAACCCAGGTGGATCATACCTCCTGCTGTTGACACTGTCTGTGGTTGATGTCTCTGACAGGGCACGCACTTGATATTAGCATACAGGTGGATAGCACATGTTGGAGACCCTCTAGTTACCCATAAGAAAACTCCTCTGTGTTAGGGATTAGTATGTGTGCTTTCCTGACTGCTGGCTCTTGAAGAGTCAAAAGTGATCCCTGCAGCTTCAGCATTTGCAGGCTAAATGTACATGATGCTCCGTATTACCAATTTTATAAAAATAACAAGACTAGTAAGCAAAAAACAGGATTAAAAGCTACAAGAACTTAAGTCACCTTGAACTGACCTGATGTGCTTGCTAAGATAACCAACATGTTTCCTAGACAAGTGAAAGAAACTGTAGGACTTCTCTTCAATTGCAGCCACTATAAAGCATTTAAGTTAGTGCTATTTCAGAGTTAGTTTAAAAAAGATTTAAAAGACAAAAAAAACCCTCCAAACCACCGCAAATCTTGTTCAGAGAATAGGACTGCAGATTGTGCTGAAGCAAGAGGAACCTTATTAGAAATGCTTTCCAAGTCCCAGTCTTCAGAGCTATCTTGTTTTAGTATCTTTATTTGACAAAAAAGGTAGGAGACAGTTGATGAAACTTGCTGACAACACAACTTTAAAGCATCATCCATATAGAACATGATAGGATAACCTTGAGGAGCTGCACTAGTAGAAATGGGACAGAATTACTTCTAGCAAATTGAATGATTATAATGATACCCTTATTAGTTTTGTAAACCTAGAGCTGCCCTTCCTTCCCTTGGCTGTCATGGGACAATTTGAGGTGCACAGTGCAGGCTATTATTTGCCTTGACCTGCAAGTTAAGTTATTTCTCTGCCATGCTACACAAGATAAGTTTGTGGTGACATACTGTGTATAAAAATAGATAGCAGGTGGGAGGTGACTGACTCCAACCCAGATTTATTTTAGTGCTCATACTGGTCATAGAATCATAGAATCATAGAGTCAACTGGGTGAGAAAAGACCTCAAAGATCATCGAGTCCAACCCTAAGTGCCACATCCAATCTCATCTTGGAAACCTCCAGGGATGATGAATCCACCACCTCCCCGGGCAGCCCGTTCCAATGCCTGATAACTCTCTCTGTAAAAAACCTCTTCCTAATATCTAACCTAAACTTCCCCTGGCACATGCTGTGTCCCACATGTTCTGCCCTGCAGCCCGAGTCACAGTTGTTTGCAGTGGTGGTAGTGCCCTGTATTCCCATCATCACATGCAGTCATGTGTTCAGACATGTTGTTTGTGAGTTCATGCATATTATCTGCTTCTTGCTTGTGAGTAGTTCCCAAGAGACATGTTTCTATCACAAGAGGACCATAAAACCTTTTGCTGAAGAAAGTGAAATCTGAAAACAGAAATTGGGTGTGCAGTGTCTGTGTAGAATGTGTGCAGGCTGGCTGCATGACTGAGGATGTGGTGGCAAAGAGTCAGTGACCCAGTGTGGGAAGTCTTAACTTCTTTTGGACCCAATGCATTTTAAAAAAACTTTCTTGGGAGAGAAGCAAATTAAGAGAAAAAAACCCAAGAAAATACAATCTCTTCAGTGACTGTCTAGCTGCCACTTACACACCTGGAGAATGAGGCACAGGCACTATATTCAGCACCTCTGAAAAGAGGTAAAGTGCAGAGATTATTAGATTTTATAATTCCCACAGGAACAGCTTTGGAACAAAGAGTGCTCAAGCAAAGACTAAAACAAAAAAACCAGCATCTCTAATTTCACCACTGTAGGTACTCATTAAGGTAAAAAAGTATCATATGTTATTTTCTCAGAGTGATTTTAAGAGACTACACATTGAGTCCAAATCACCAGAGAATTCTTGAAGTTTGTTAACACTCATGCTTTCCATAGGGAAATAAGTATTCTGGCTTTCAACTCTATAATATTTGACTGTCAAACTTTCAGGCACCATGGAGGGACGAGAGCAGTGAAGAATGCAAGTTCCACGCTCCTCCATAAGTAATGAGTAGAGCAACAAATCATGCTTGATAAATGCAATGGCCTTTTTTTTGATCATATTATATATAGCCAGTCACAACACACTCTGACTTCAGTGGAACATTTGACACAGTACAGCCAAGCCAACTTGAATAAATTAAACCTGGCTGAAAGGCAATGGCTAATAATATCAGAAAAATATTTGTTTAGAGTTGATGTCTGTCAGTACATGCAAAAGAAAATAGAGTGCACACAAGACGTGTGCCAAGAAACGTTGCTGATGAAAGGCTAGGGAAAAAAAAAGAAAGATTTAGCTCCAAAGGCTTCAAAACTTGTTTAGTAGCAATTTTATTTCTAGACCTGGGGAGCAGACACTCTACAATGCCAGCTGTATGGTTATTGCTACTCTAAGCTTGTTGCTTGTATACTATATGGCCAGTCTTTCTTGAGAACTTATGGATTAATTCATGTGCATAGAAATGTTGCCACACTTAGGGAATTGATATTCCAGTCACTGAACCTCACAAAAGCACCTAAAGATTAGTTACCTTCCATTGATAAGTGGAGAAAGCTACTTTTAGTGGAGCAATCCCTCCTGAAAGATCTAGTATAGTTGTCATACATTCCATAGAATGGTTTGGGTCTGAAGGAAACTTAAATATCATCTAGTTCCAACCCATGGGTGAGAGCATCTTCCAGTAAACCAGCTTGCTCGAAGCCCCACCCAACCTGGCCTTGGACACTACCAAGGCGTGTGTGGCATCCACAACTTCTCTGGGCAGTCTGTGCCAATGCCTCACCATCCTCATAGTAAAAAAATTTCTTCCTTATGTTTAACCTAAATCTCTCCTCCTTCAGTTTAAAGTCATTCCTCCTTGTCCTGTCATTGCATGCCCTTGCAAGAATTCCCTCCCCAGCTTTCTTGTAGGCCCCCTTCAGGTACTGGAAGGCTGCTGTAAGGTCTCCCAGCTCTCTCAGCCTGTCTTCATAGGAGAGCTGCTCCAGCCCTCTGATCATCTTCCAGGCTGTCCTATGGACTCAATCCAGTAGGTCCGTGTCCTTATACTGGGGGCTCCAGAGCTGGATGCTGCACTCTAGGTGGAGTCTCATGAGAGCAGAGGAGATGGGGAGAATCACCTCACTCCACCTGCTGGCCACACTGCTTTTGATGCAGCCCAGGATATCAGGCACCTCAGGTAGCACAGATTGGTCCAGCTGTTTCTGTAAAATTAGGAGTTGCATAGTGAGGAATTTCTCATGAAAACACTAGGGGAAAATGCAACCCCTATCCTCTGAATGGAGCTGGGGTGGCTGTTGTTTTTTTTTAACAACTGGGGGAATAAATTATTTCCTCTCCCAAAACAAGAAACTACTTAATAAAATTCCTGGGGAGAATAATAGAATTAAAGTCACACCCTCCATTTTTTAAGACCTAGTATCACTTTCTTTGTGTGGTTGGGTTTTTTGTTTGTTCTGTTTGTGGGTTGTTTGTTTGTTTTTATTGAAGGCTGAACATTATGGCCAGAGCTTTTGATGTTCTAAAAAGGGAGTTTGTGCCTTTGGAAAAGGACATCTTCTTCCACCTGGATATGAATGTGAGATCTGTGAGAAAAGGCAATGACTTCCATTTCAGAAAGTTGATTCTTCCTCGAGCCCCAAGACACTACTTAGAAGATTTTAAAATTATATGATCCTATTAAAGCTGGCAGAGTCCAGGATCCTAAATTTGAAAAAACTTTTAGGTGATAAAATTTCTGACTCTGTATGCGTGTGGCAAACTGAGCAAAGATGGGGATAGCTGGAGCTGAAAATGAAACCTCACCTGCAAAGTATGACTGATTTTCTGAAAATGGAATAGTTCCTCAGTAAACTGATCATATACTGTAGGACATGTTGGTAGACTGGGTGATACAGTGGATGCTCTGTAAATAATAAGCAAGTGCTTTTGATGGATGGATAAAATGATCAAAAAGGTCTCCTATCTGTTCTCTTTAGTGTCAGAGAGCTACTATAATTATGAAAAATTTCCTGTATATGCACACATCCAATCTGTTATATTGCTGTGTTCTGAAATGACTGGGATTTGCACTTAAAATGCAATTTACATGTTTGAGGGTTTTTTTAAAGGTGGAAAGGAATCAGAGGCTCAAGCAAGACAAAAACAGCAAATGATGCTCATGCAATCTAAATACCAGCAAAAGGTCAGTAAGAATAAATTTGTTTGTTTATTTTTAGAACTCAAAAGAAATCTTTTCATGAAGTGTTTCATATGACTACAAAATGAACTCACAGCTGCTTGACAGAAGAAAGCCACGGAACCTGAAGGAAGCAGCAGAAAAGCAGAAACAAATGTTCTGCACCAAAGAAAATGAGAAATCTGTCTATAAATATGTAGCAATCCTTATCACAGATGATATCTAAAATAATAACCAGTACAGTTGTAAAGACACTTATTTGCCTTGCTGTATCTTCTGGCATGCTGCCTGCACTTCGACTAATTGATCAATGTACCACCCTATCCCGTGCCTATGTGGAAATGTTGTTCCTGTTGTAAGAGGTATAAATGCTTGTAAGTTATCAATCAGCTGCACGATTCCTTGCATGGATGCCCATTTATCAGTCCTAGCTTTCTCAACCTTTTTAAAGCCAATATTGGAATAACTGTTGCACAGCCTGCATTATTCAGTTCTCATTTTAAGGAAAAAATTCTGGAAACTTTCTCCAAGTACACTTTAGATTTGAAAGATGTGCAGTAGAGGAGTCAAGTTACCCTATGTATTCCTTGTATACATATATATGTGAAATAATTTTCTATGTTTATGTCATGCAGCACAAGAGAGAAGAATATGTCAAAGCAAAAAAGGCAGCTGAAGAAGATGAAATCCTGAAAAAGAAGGCACTTCAGAGAGAAAAGGTAAACCTGGTTACTGCTAAGTTGGAGCCACATAACAAAGTTCATGTGTTGATGATTGATTTTGCTAAACTTCATGGAACAAGCTAATCAAATTAAGTGTTAGCCCTGGATGGCACCAAGGAATTTGGAAATCCAGTCCTCCTCCTCTTTGTAGCTGACTGAAGGATGCCTGACCTGGTGTTCTTTGGGGCTTGAGTGTTCCTTTGGCTCTTCGGAAACTCCAGTCTTTCAGCTGCATCCATCCTGAAGAGTTAACAGAAAGGGAGAATATGAGAGTCAGGTGTAACACTGTGTATGCAGTTTATATGTTTCGCTTTGGCATTAGTTTTCTCCATAAGATCAGACAGTGGCAGGTGGCACAAAGACCTTACAGAAAACCATAATTGCCTGCTGTGCACATGAGAAGAATACTAGAAAATCCAGCCTATCATGGTGGAAAAGGCATCCAAATCATGAAAAGGTCAGTGTAGTCTATCTGTATTGTGCTGAGACCACCCTGAAATTCAAGTGCCCCTCTAGCTCCTCTGGGGCTTGCACACACAGGTGGGTTGCTAATATGTCAGATCACTTTTCCTTCTAATATTCTGCATATAGTGACACCAATGATAGCTCACTTTCAAATTTTGCTGGTTTATTTTGCATTTGTTTCTTTATTCTAGTTGTTCTCACAAAGCACCTTCTTGTCCTTTGTGCTGCACAAACTTTTGTAAAAGTTCCTTTGTGTCTCTTTGGTGGCAACCAAGTAGTACTCACTTGAAAATGCAATGCGGAATTTAAATGAAAAAAGAAAAGAGAGGGAGCATGATATGATGTGCACAATAACAAGGAGAGACAGGGAGAATTCAGGTTTACAAGTGTTGCCTCCACAACAGTAAAAACTATTTTCTCTGCAGAAACTGAATGTTGAGAGTTAATTAAAAAATCATCGATACCGGATGGTATACAAGGGCCAAACAAAAATAGCTGTAATTGCCTCTGGGTAAGGGTTAGTCTGTTCCCAGTCTTTCAGTGGTAAGCATTACTCTTTGGGGATAAGCCCATACACAATAGCTCACAAGGACAATAAATATTGTCATGTGAAAATGTCATTAATGGTTACCTGCTCATGTATAGGTCCAGAAGCAGTGTTGATAGCAATGGTAGACAGTGGATTAATTATTGAATATATGTTGTTTTCCCATAGGCATTGGACAAGAAAAATGTTACAAGACTGCTATAATTTCTAGTTACACCTGGAAAATATATTGATGTATCTGTTTTGTTTTCATGCACTTTAATTTCCTTCCTTTCACTCCCACAGATTATAAAATCTTTATTGATGATATAGATAGTAAAACTATAACTATCACTTTCTTGTAAAGGAGGATGCAACATCATGGCAAACATCTTTGCCAAACAGAATGTCTATTTTGACTAAATAAACATATACCCAGAAAGCAATCAAACAAAACAGAGGGGCATGAAAGGGAACTCTTAATTTGAATTTGTTTATTCAGCTTGTCTTCCACAATAGTGGTTGAGATGATGAAGAATTCTACTTGGAAGATGATTATATATTAAGAAAAGCAGCCTTGTGTTTAAGAAGAGCATGCCAGAAAGCCACTAAAAGGTGTTAATTTGGCTATCTAACCCTGCCTGCAGATGTAATGCTCCCAAGACCCGAGTATGACAGGGATTCTAAAGAATTAGTACAGTATACCAATGTTGGGCCCTGGTTGCCACAAGAAAGGAGCTTTTTTTTTGAAGTGATCAATTTGTACTCAGCTGCACCTGCAGGGCATCGGCTGAGAGCATGTCTTTCTGCAAATTCACAAGCCATCTTTTCTTGCTGGCAAGCCCTTCTTTTGCTCAAGGTTATTATTGATTCAATAAAAACCAAATTGTCTGACAGTCTGAGAGGAGATGATGTCTAACTAGCTTTATCAGCAGGAGCCCTGAACTTTCACAGCTGGAGAGTTACTTTGCCAACAGATAGGAATGGTGAAGCCCTACAGACTAATGTGCAATGACTAGAACAAGTGCTGGTACTCAGCTCAGTTCTTCCTTGATTGTAAGGATGATGTACTGTAATCCAATTCTGCTTGTGAACCTAGGATCTGTTTATGTTACTGCTTTAATTCTGGTTTTGCAGAGTAAAGCAGCAGCCACTTTTCCATTATCTTTGTCAACAAGAGAAAACTCTGTATCTGCGAAAGCAGTACCCAAATGTGGATCTGCCTTACCATCTGTATGAGTCCAGAGTGCCTATCTCTATCATTTTTTTATTAGCCATGAGGTTATTAGGTGCTGGAAAACCAATACCTTGTTTCTCTCCAGCTCCCGAGAGAAGAAACATTCTTCATTCTGTGTTCCCAAATAATTAAGCAAGTGGCAGATATTTGACTTCTTGCTTTTAAACTTCCGGCATTTGTGCTGTACATGAAATAGAATAACTTCAGTGCACCGGATGTTTCTGTTTCCTGTCATTCAATATCTGTTACTGTTACCCTGTCCTTAGCCTTTCCTCGTATAGGCTAAGTTGTGACTGAATATTAAGACTCAAAGGAGTTGAAGTGGAAAGGCTCAGTGTAATTCTACTGCATGCAACTTTTTTTTGCTCTTACATTGCATCATAAACAGTCCTGTCATCTTTAGAAACTGTCTTATTTAGGATAAGCTGTAATTTCATTTTATTTTTTATCAAATCATGTGCTTCTTATTTTGACTCTGCTAATCAGCAAGAATGGCCTATTTTAGGATTTTGTTAAAACCAGGCACTTTACAGACCTTCTGCTAATGTTTTTCAACATGTTTACCTTCAATATCACAGCTGTTCCACTCTTGGCTTTGTTTTTGAAGATGATGCCAAATGTGGAGTGCTTTGGCAATGCCTATTGATAGATTGTAATTAGTTAGAGAATATCCCAGTCCTGTTGCCTGTGACTTGTATGAATCCTAAACAGGGGCTCCAGGATAAACTTCCAGAGTATAAAATAGTCACTCCAAGCACAAGTGAATAATTTCAAGATGCTGGAGTTTTCTTCAGGTACCATTCTGGTGGTAGAATAGCTGTAGGATGTTTCCTTCTTTTTTATCTAGTGGGAGACCAGGATAATACTGAAGGTTTGTACTTACCAAAGTTAATATCACTGTGTTCTAGCTGTGAGCTAGACCACAACAGCCCCCATGAGCTTTGGATTTGAACTTGGAGGAGCCTTGCAGTGTGATGGTGGATCCCACATCTAATGCTTTTTCAGAGGTGAAGGTGTCAGACCCCAGTGTTGAGTAATGTTGAGAAAAAGCCTGGGAGCCATGGCTGGTGTCTTGAGGTTATCAGCATCACCTTTGACAATGATAGAAGCCATCAGATTTCCTTTCTTGCTCTTTCCTTTCTTTCCCTGTAAAGTTGTGCAAATGGGTGGGAGTCTTTTTGCCTAAAAAATTATCTGTCTCTGGGTGGAGTGGTTAGGAGCAAACAAGATATCCCTTGGACACTCTCAAAATTTACCTGTACTGTGCAGTCAGCGATGCTCCTTACTACAGTTTGATTAAATTTTTCAATTGCATCAGTACATGATATGTTCTACCACTGTCTCTGCATGTCAAATGACTGAACAACAGGACATCTTATTCAGACATTCATCTTCCTCCCTTTGTGTAATTTTCCACTGCTTTTTTCTGAATAACAACTTCTAAGTCATTTGCCTTCCAGCTGTTTATATCGTCACACAACACAGTGGCTCTTTTCCTATCTGCAGACATCTGAAAGGATTTTTTTCTTAATCCAATACATGCGAAGGAGGAATTTGCACTTGTTTTGCAAATCTCTTCCAGACAGTTGGTCATTATCCAATTAAAAATAGCCATCCTGAATTCGCTGAAGGCAAAGTAATTGAGTAACTGCCAGTAGAATTGTAATTTTTCTGAAATGTTTTTGATTGCAGGACAGAAAGAAGATTATGGAAGTGGGAGCCCTTTTCTTAATACCACTTTCCCTCTTACACCCTCCCCCCACCTTGTTCTAGACGGCCTTGCACAGTACCTCTGACCAGGTAGTGTCCTCTCCCTGATCTGGGGCTCTGGCCAAATAGGCCATTCTCACCTACACTTCCCTTCTCATCTCTGCAAGGTATTGTCTGAAATTTTCAGGGCACTTCATTCAGAGCAGTGTCTAGTTGCTGGGTTACCAAACAATTACTTGTTTTTACATTTTGAGGGTGGGAAATGAGCAGAGTGCCTGTCCAGGGCTGTGTTTTGCTCCACGTGTGAGTTGTTGTGATCCTTGGGTGGGAGGTCTGTTTGGAGCATCCCCCCACCAACTGCAGCATAGGAGCTTGTGTTCAAAATATAGTGGGCTGAAATCTCAGGTTGGCACTTCTAATTCGTGGTTTTAAGACACTGAACTGCCTTTTGACTGCTCTTCCCACTGGACCTAATTACAGCCTGTGAACCAAAACAAAAATCTGGCTGTCTTCCTTTTGACTGGATTTAGCTTGAACTACATATTGCTGTTGAAACAAGTTCTCTAGTTTTTGCTTTATTTTAATGTTTTATTCTACTTGAATTTGGGGTTTGGGTAGCTTAGATGACCCTTCCACTGGAAATTATGTGCAATTTTATATTAAAGAACTTAATAATTTGTGTGGTATCCAGATTTTTTATGTGTCAAGGATTTGGTTGACTCTTGGCACTGGTTATGCTATCTGAGGCAGAATAACAGTGGTTAAGTACAAATGTCTCCTACTTTCATCCGTCTTAGCATGTATTCAACTGGCCAGTACACAATGCTCCTGAAGGTCAGGTCTATGAGCAACATGTACTTATATCACTGCTCAGTGCTACAGAACTATCATCTGCTTTGTTGCAGTGATTTGGGTCCTCTACCTTCTTACTAGGACCAATATTGCGTCAGTTATACCAAGAGATGTACCCAGCAAGGCTGTGACATGAAGCTGTGAAGGCTCACAAGGCTCTTTGGGTAGATGGATCTACCAAGAGCACAGTGTCATTTTCTGTTTCAAACAGGTCTCTTGACTAGGAGCTGCTTGGTTATGTCTGAATACTTTTAAAGTACCCAACTGCTGCTATAGATCTTTTAAAAACCAGAAACACTTGAATTGAAATAATCAATGTTTGTTTCTGGTTCACTGGAAATCTCAAGTATGTTTTCCTGTTTTTAATGCTGTAGGCAGAGAGACTTGAAGTTAAGAAAAGACAACAAGAAATGCAAAGAAGAGAGACATTCCTTAAAGATCAATATTAGTAAGTAATATTTGAAATTTATTACCTAAAATTGATCATCTGCTTGTCCTTCTGTTGGGTTTTTGCGGGTTTTTTTGATTGGTTGGGTATTGGAAATTTTTATTTACTATTATTTATTTGGGTTTTTTTTTCTGGTATGGGGCTTAGGAAGGATTTGGCTTCTGTTGCTATGTTTTCACTTTTGGACTTGAAACTTGACTTCAGGACAAGGAACACAAACTGAAACACAGGAGGTTCCTACTGAACATCAGGAAACACTTTTTCATTGTGAGGATGACTGAACATATGCACATGTTGCCCAGGGAGGTTGTGAAGTCTCCATGCTTGGAGATATTCAAAAGTCCTGGGCAATTGTCTCAAGGTGCCCCTGCTTAAGCAGGGGGTTGGACAAGATGTCATCTAGAGGTCCCTTCCAACCCCAGTGAATCTGTGATTCTGTGAAATATTCCAAGGCTCCTCCATACCTTATTCTGTGAGAATTATAGAATGACTTTGTGCTTTCTTTCTCTACCTGAATCAATATGTGATCATTCAATCCAAGACTAATTGAAACAGAAAATAAATTACATCTCCACCCATTTATTTTATTGACTAGTGAAGAACTCTAACCCACATGGAAATAATGAGGACTTCCTATGTTTAGCATAGTCCTACTTAAATGTAGAGATCTATTGTGAAGACCTGTTTCCCAAGAATATCTCCTTAATGTCAGATTTAGATACAGCTTAACTACTGACATAATTAATTCCATTGGCAGTGAAGTTCCTGCTTTGACTCTTCACTCTACCCTATTTATATATATTTTTAACAGATCCAAACTGATTCTATCACATAATTAACACACAATGCTGTTTAGTCACCTTTACCTTTTTTATCTTTAGTTTCTGAAATTATTCACCTGTATTCTTAGCCTGATTGATTGCTCTTTCCTCCTCTGTGACCTTTAAAGAAATCTCTTTTGTCCCATGCTAGTAGCACCAGTTCCTTCATCATTTGTCCAGACTCTGTTCTCTAATGTCTATACATTTTAGTGCTTTCTCACTGATCTCAACTTTTCTTGTCTTTTTCCTATTGTTTCTTCCCATTTGGCTTTAGGTACAGCTCTTTCCTTAAATATGTTTCCAGCATGTATCTCAAGATATTGCTGTTTGTCCTCAGTTTGTCTCAGTATGAATTTCACACACACACATGCCTTGATTCCTTGGGATTTCTGAAGACCCTGCACAGCTTTATATTGCTGCCTGTTTCTGACAGACCAGACACCTTCATTCTCTTTGAGCCTAAATCAACAACAGACACACCAAGTCCTTGCAGAGCAAGGTCCTCAGTTATGGGCCTTGCTTTTTACTCAGGGGATTGTCATGGTTCTTATCTTTCAATTTAATATGATTTTTTGTATAAAGGCTTATTCAGTTATGAACAGAGACATATCTCTTCCTTTCCCTCACCTTCCCTGTCTGTACCTTTTTTTGCTTAGGATGAAATGAATTCTGCTGTTCAGCACTTTTTAATATTAAAAGTAAGTTTGGCTTTGTCAAAAGCAGGCCCAAACCCTCTGAATCATAGGACAAGAGGAAATGGCCACAAGTGAAATATTTCCTCACCAAAAGGGTAGTCAAGCATTGGAACAGGCTATCCAAGGAAGTGATTGAGTCACCATTCCTGGTGGTATTTAAAAGACTTGTAGATGTGATGCTTAGGGACATGGTTTAGTTCTGGATTTGGCAGTGCTGGGCTAACAATTGAACTTGATGATCATAGAGGTCTTTTCCAACTTAAATGATTCTCTGTTGGCAGTCAGTTTGTCCTCAGGTGGTGCAGGAACTCTGGCTGCCTGGGCACTGAGAAATAAACTGTCTGGCAGCTGTTCTGTCCACTGACTAAGGAATGCTTTGTGAGCATTCAGCTAGTGTCATTTCGGAAACCAAACTGACTGATGCAACTGCAGGTAAAGATGGACTGTCAAGCTCCATTGCTTGAGATTATGTTCAACTATCAGAATATTATTTGTATGTACTATGTATTGAACATACACCAGGAGGGCCCTGTAGCTACTACACCTGGAGGAAATGAGCTGAAAATCTACCTACAGTGAATGCAATTTTGGTTAAGCAAAACCCTTTGCTGTGCAATGTGATACTAATGCCTTCCCTGGTCTGAAGGAATCCTCTGGTGGGCAGAAGAGGAGTCTGTACCACTGGGTGTTGTTGAGTTTGCATTGCTAAGATACATTGGCATCATGGAGCATAGCATCTAAGAGTAATGGAAAGATTTTGTGCGACATTTCAGATTTTGTAAGGTAACTCCATTGAAGTACTTCTGGTTATTTGAGGCACATTCACATAAAATGCTTAGTATTTAAAGATCTGCTTTTGCCTACTGTGCAAAACCGAGTGACTCATTACTTCCATCATCTAAGACCCTTTGTCTACAGGCAAAAGGAACAAATATGAAGTTGTGCCCCTTTCCTTGCTGTCTCTGCTGGAGTATTTTGATCTCGTTCCCTGCTTGCTGGGAGAGGGGGGAAGGAAGGTCATGTGCTGCATATAAAGCAATGACCTCTGCAAAGTCATGGCCTGGGGAGCATTGCAAAAGATAAGCTCCCTTGTTAGTCTGTCGTCTGTAAGCATCTGTAGCTGCAACATCACAATTTTCCTGAGGAGATCAATGCCTACCAGCAGTCTCATTAGCTGGGAAACCTTTTAAAATTGATCACCACCTCTAGCTGTATCAGACTCCAAGGGGTACAGCCCAATCAGTACCTCTCCTGCATGAAGTGCCGCTTCTATTTGATAAGGAAAGGCACTTAAGATTCTCATGTCATTAACATACTCTGACAATAAAGTATGATGCTGCCCAGAATTCCGTTTTTTCTGATTAAATTCCTGTCACTATTAAAAACAAGAACTTCTCACTGAAATCCTCTTTCAAAGGGTCTAACATGGAGTGCTAGAAAGAAAAATTGTCTGCAACCTTGTCCTCTGTCTACAGAATACAGTTATTTCCTATCTCTTGAAAACCTTGTAAGCTTCTTTGTGTACAACAGGCCCTTGAAAGTTAGCTGTATCTGTTACCACAGCTGCTTGAATATGTGTTTGTGTCTTGTCAGAATGCAGTCTAGACAGGCATGCAAAATGCCATGGTACAGTCTGCAAGCCCCACACATTTGGAATCAGCAGCTCCTCTGACCCAGGTGGACTCAGGTTTTGTTAGGTGACTAAAATGGAAAAAACTCACCAGGTATCTCCTGAAGTAACTGTATATAAAAAGCCTAAAGAGCACACAGGGGCAGAATTTGGGGTGTAGGCATTGCTACATAGCAAGATTGCTATGGTTTGTACTAACAGAGGAGAAGCAGATGAAGGATTTGTTGTTGATAGTGTTGCTGTGGTTCTGTCCCTGCAGATGCCAGATTTAGAAAATAGGGATTGTGTGTTGACTTTTTACCGGAAACTACTTACACATGAAATGGAGTTTTACCTTCTGAATCACAGGGTCTTGGATGCATTTTGCATTATTGGCCTGTGGGAGAGACGATGTTTCTGTCAGAGTGCATTAAAAGATAATAGAGTTTTGTGTACTCCATACTTTGCAATTCCTAATCCATGTGAGGGAAGAACTGAGTGTCCACCTTTTCAAATGGAAACAAAGAAGAGAACTTTTCAGGACATCCCTTTTCAGGACTCCATAGTTGTCATTCGAACAGTAATGAGCGATGGGTATCTCACAACTTTCTGTGCAGGCTTGTGAATCTCTGAACTGTAGGGTGCCTCACCATATGGTTTTAGCCCAGCTCTCTAATAAGAAGCCTTTATTTAATTTGTATTCTACTGGATGTGGTCCACTGTTTTTCTAATGTATTGGGAAAAGCAGTCTAGAACATAGGGTTACTTTTCAATAGTACATGATGGCTGTTGTGTCACGTCATCCTTCCCTTTGTTACATATTCATGCGTCTGTTTTTGTGAGGTTGTACTCTTGTAAAAATTCCTGGCACTGCTGCACTTGGGTACATGTGTGCACTCAACATATTCTGCTCAGAATTTGGAGCTGGAAACAGAATTTTCCAGGATGCCTCTAAGTGCATATTCTGAGCACAATGCAGGAGGTTCACCAAACCAATCTGATATACACTTGCCTGCCAAAGCAGTTTTCTCAAAAGTCATAAAATGTAAGAGAATAAAACCTGAATCAAAACAGATTTTTTATTTATTTATCTATTTTTACAGGATAAATGCTAGTGTCCTTGCCAGTTTTCAGTCCCCTATGATGTGTGGTTCAAATAGCAGGCTGGCAACAAATTTTCCCCACAGAAGTGCAAATGTAAGCCTGAGCAGACTTTTAATATAGGTTGCTAGATAGAATGAAAGAGGCCTCACACAGAAAGGGTTTGCAGCCTTGAGAATCCTTTGTTTGCTTCTTTTCACCACAATTGTCTTCATTTTGTTCATTTGCTCCTGATTATTTTAAGCGTTGTCAATTATTTAGCTAACAGGCAGAAAACTAGGCTTTTATAGACATCCAAAGGGACTCTCTTGAGTGTAATAATGAAGGCGGTTTATTGAACGCCTGTGAGGTTGCTTTCTAATTGTATGCATTAATCTGCCCATGCAAGCTGGCTGAAAATATAGAAGCAGATTGCACATGCAGATGGAGCACACAGAATGGAAGATCTATGCAATAGACTTATACCAAACTGCATTTTCCTTAAAACTGGATTTATGCTTATTACTTCAGATAATAAATGAAACTTACATCTCAAATACCATCCAGGAATATTGGATGAGTTGGTGGGAGGAAAGAATAGCCTAGCTGTGTTATTTCATCCAGTCAGGGAAACAAAAAAAGCAAGTGGGTTGACAGGATAGATTAGTTTTAGGTGTGGGTAGGAAGTGATGAAAATAATTCTGCTGAGAAAGTTGTCTCTTTTTTTTAACCTATTCTTTACTTTCTTGAAGCCTTATACCTAAAATGAACAAGTGCCACATTTTTTCTTCTTAT